AGCAGACTCGCTTTTGCGATGAGAGGGATCACAGATGCGGGGGAGGGGGCAATATGGCAGGGTAGCGGGTGTGTAAGGATGCAGAAGCGAGCTCACAGATACGGAGTTTTTCTGTATGAGCGACAAAGGCTGGAACATTCGTATTCTGCAAAAGCAGACAATTTCCGCAAAAGCAATGAAGTTGTCGTAGGTGCGAGAATTGTTGGGGTAGAGAGGTGCATTTATATCGGACTTAGGCTTTTTGGTCCATTTCTTTCACTTCTTGGACGAGTTTAAAGCTCTTTGAAGAGGGGTTTTCACCTAGCACTTTGAGTTTCAGATTGTTTGGCATCAAGTTGAGGCTTTATAGAGGATTTGTGTACCGGAAGTGAACTTGAGTACGAGGTAAGTCTCTTTCCTAATCTTGTAAGAGGGAACTCATACCCTTAGGTGTACCTTTGTTGTATATTACTTGTGTGAGGAGCTACGTATGCACGAGGTGATGAGAGTCCACTCATAGCTATATTCCATGATATGTCCAGGTATCAATACCTACTTCAAACAAAATTTAAAGAACTTGAAAACCTTCAATGCGCCAACTTTCAACATTAAGTGCCGAAACGCTCCCGAGTTATCTGAAATCCGATCCTAACATATGCGCAAGTCCAAACTTATTATACAAACCTATTGGGACCGTCAAATCCTAATTCTGTGGTCGTTTGCTCAAAACGTTGAATCAAGTAAACTTAACCATTTAAAGCCACTATTAAGGAACTAAGTGTTCTGATTTCAACCTGAATCCTTCCAAACCCGAACTAACCATCCCCACAAGTCATGAAACAGTAAAAGCACATATAGAAAGTATATTTTAGGGGAACATGGATCTAGAAAGCAAAACGGTCGATCGGATCGTTACATCAACAGCTTGTTTATGTGTAATTACTTATATTGTTCAGATTTTAGTCCAGATCCATATTACTATGATAACATTTAGAAAGGAGTGATCAACCTTTCCGAGCATGAGTGCCACAATGTCTAGGGTTAGCTACCCTATACTTGCATGTGCTAACACGCTCATATAGGTTGAGCTTGATTGAGCCACTCGATAGCCTCATAAATGGGTTGAGCCTGAGTGAGCATCATCATAGGCCCCACTAATATTCTCAGATAGGTTGAGCTTGATTGAGCCACTTGATAGCTCCACAAATGGGTTGAGCTTGAGTGAGCGTAATTAGTGGCCCCGCTAATATGCTTAGATAGGTTGAGCTTGATTGTGCTATTTGATGGCCCACATACAGGTTGAGCATGAGTGAGCACAATCAGAAGCCTCGCGACAACTTTAGTAGTCCTCGTACGAATTCCCAGGTGCTCATGCATGCAGGGTCACTATATGCAAAGTTTTAAAAAATGTTATTTCTTAAAAAGTGACTTGGCTATTAGTTTTTAGCTTTCAATTATGAGATACTCCCTATGGGTTCAAAATAGGTATCCACTTGACCATTTGCGTACTCGTTAAGAAAATATTAACTCCTATAAAAAAAGATAATTTAACTGAACTTCCCCTAATTAAAAAATTTATATTATTAACTTGACACATTAAGACTTGGCCACTTAACACTTAACACTAACTAGTATGAACATATTACAATGATTAAAAGAGTACTCCATAGACCAAAACATAAGTGAACAAATTTGGAATCTGTAAAATAAATATCCAATGGAAAAAATTGAATAACAGCCAAACTTGGAAACCAAATGTTGAACCTATTTAATGATATCATAGAAAATTTGAGTAATTTGAAAGTCTTTTAGGGATATGTAACAATTAAGGAAAAAGAAGCTTAATTCATTCTTAATTTGTTATGACTGCACTTATGTTTTACCCAAAAAAAAAAAGGCTTAACGGACACTCTTTATGAATCGGAGGGAGTACAGATTAAGCTATCAGTTTTAGCTTTCAATTATCAGTTTTAAATTTGGTTTTCAGAATCAATTTCAATTTGCGGATTATCCAGTTTATTACGCGAATTGCCTGCCCTACTCGTTGTATTTTATAATATTTATATAGTATATGCTAGTCTTGTCCTCCGCTTAGGGGTTATCAACGAGACTTATTGGATATTTTTTTGTGGTGTACTTAGCCCGTCTGGGCTTGTCACATCGTGTGGCAGGCATTAAGTTTGTAGGTGATGAGGCTCCTAGAAGATAGTAATGTGTGGATTTTCTATGCTCTACATACACTACCAAAGAATGTTTGGATTGACTTTTAAGCTAGTTAAATCAGTTTTTAAGTTTTTTCTTTTTTAATTTTTTTTTAGTATTTAACAAAGTTAAAAAAATACTTAAAATAAGTTAAAAACTACTTATAACAAGCCAAAAGTAACACAGCTTATTGCTTTTGGCTTAAAATTTAAAACCAATCCAAACGAAAATTGCTAGCAAGCGTTTGTATAGGCATCCTTGTGTTCTTACCGACTATGCTCTCGTTTACTAATGTTTTGCTCTGGTTATTGCGTAGTAAAATCTTCTAGTAGATAAACCTAGCTAGGATAAAAGAAATACCAGGTTGATGACAGGCATAAATCCAAACAGCTTTAAATAGTACAAAACGTAGCTTGGATACACGTGTTGTAGATAAATGTTGGATTTGTAACTTTGAATGTTTCAAACTCTACCCTACAGTGCTGGATTTTGACTTATAAGTGATTTTATTCTCGTATAGAATACTCAATACTCGGCTTATATTTGTCAAAGCTTCGAAATACAAGCAACGGTTGCTCGTGGTGTTCCATCTTTAAGTAAGGGTAGTTTTGTCGAAATATTTTTCTTGTGAAAGCAGTGGCTAAATGCTAATAACTTTTTAATACTGACTAAATTCTAATAGTAGAGACTAAAATTGGCTATTTTTAATTATTTCCACTAAAAGATAGGGACAACTTCAGGACCTAGACCTTATGGGTCAGATTTACAAATGATCGTTCAAAAATATCCAAATTTTAAAAGTAATCAAAATTTAATCACTTTTTATGTAAAGATAAATCTGAGCGAAAATACTATTCAAAATCCGAAAAATACGCCAGCATATTATACTGGAGTTCCAGCATAAGTATGCTTGAACTCCAGCATATTATACTGGAGTTCCAGGATAAGTTTGCTGGAACTCCAGCATAATATGATGGAGTTCCAACATAAGCGCACTAGAACTCCAGCATACTATACTGGAGTTCCAGCAAGAATAATTGTTCAATATAATATACTGGAGTTTGGAGCACCGGTGCTCCAGTCTCCAGTATATTATACTGGAGTCAGCAAAGTATACTGGTTCAACATAATATGCTGGAGTTCATACACAGGTGCACCGAACTCCAGTATATTATGCTGGACCGGTCTCTGTTGCAGCAAAATAGTGGCTATTTTTCATTGAATTCGTAAACGATAGCTATTTTTGAATGACTAGTCTGAAATCTGGCTATACCGTGCTATTTTTACATAAATAATTCGTAGTGTAAGCTCGAAATTAAAGCCCGACAGTTTTTTTGGGCTTAAAATAGCCAGATTTACAAGTGGTCATTCAAAAATAGCCACAGTTTCAAAAGTATTCGAAATTTAGCCATTTTTCATGTAAAGATAAATCTGAACGAAAATATTATTCAAAAAGCGGAAAAATACTCCAGTATAATATACTGAAACTCCAGTATAATATGCTGGAACTCCAGTATAATATACTGGAACTTTCCGCGTATTGGAGTTCCAGCATAATATACTGGAAGTTCATACACAGGTACCACCGATCTCCAATATATTATGCTGGAACTTTTTGTGTTGCAGCAAAATAGTGGTTATTTTTCAATGAATTTGTATACGTTGGCTATTTTTAAATGACCAATCCTAAAACTAGCTAGCCCGTGCTATCTTTATCCGTTTTTTGATTTCTGGCCCTTATCTTTGCAATCTGATTATACTATGAGATATAATAAGGAAACACTAATGCAATAATGTGCGTCTATTTGGGAAGTTTATACAAATAACCCTCTTGTTTACTTTTTCTAATAAGTATATATAAATAGTATACTGATTCTAAATAATATACACGTATTATATATATGTTATTTGTAGTTTAAGCAATTTGGCGCAATTTGGTGAACGGCTATTTGGATTGATTCTTCTATTCTTGTTTTAACTTGTAATTAAATCTCATTTCTGGTGCGATTTATTTCCTTTCATATATTCGTTTCTTTGTTAAATTGATTGACCGTCTCATATATTCTTTTCCTTTGTTTTGTTTTGTTTCTTTTCTTTCTATTTTTCTCTTGGGGATAATTGATGGATATTAAGACGCCGGACATAAGTTAAAGGTTTATCATCACTCACAGGTAAAGAGAATTTTGTTCTTTTGGCTTCGTGAAAGGAAGAAGATGAAAAGATGGAACATGCTCAATTTCTACGATTTACGTCAATTAAAGAGTTAATAAATTTAAAGAACCGCATTTCTACTTTCTAGATCATTATCATATATATAACCAGTTTGTTAGCTAAGATAGTTTTAATGCTAGAGCTCCTAGCACCCAAGGAACCCAAAAAAAAAAAATTGATTTTTTATCATATATAGTGCACATGAAATCATGATATTTTTTCAAGAAACCAGCGGAGGCGGATGCAACACTTTAACACCGGGGTATGAATCAGTACTTTTGGCGTGAATCCGCCTCTAGAAAACAGGTTTGAATCCATCAAGCAGGGGCAAAGCCTGTGTGTTGGTTATGTTACGGGTTCGGCCGAACCCAGTACATTAGTTCAATCTTATATTTGTTTTAAATTTTTTATAGAATATATAGAAATTATAAATTTCGAACCTAATAATCTTAAACGACTAAACTTCTAAATTCATGAATTTCAAATCCTGACTGTCTAAGGCATAGGCTGTTCGGCTGTTCCCTCATGTTAACACTTTCCCATCCTTTTTGATTTATTATATTAACTTCTGATATGCAAGTGGTCGATCATGGGTTCGCTCAAGCTCATTTTCGGAATGATATACGTTGTTGATTGATCTTAATTATAACATGCAGGAGCTACAAAAAAGACTTTTCCTTTTTGTTTATTTGCCTCTTTGCTTTTTCCTTTTTTTATGGTTTGGTTGGTAGCTAGGGATATGTTTAAAGAACAGAGGGAGGAGACGATCTATAACAAAAACTGATTAATTAAATTAATCTTGTTCATTGCTTTGGCTCCAGTTCCTTATAGCTTCCAAGACTGATTGTTTTACCATTTGGGCATCTACTCTATCAATCTGTCCTTCGGTCTGCAATAACAACAACTTTGTTAGCCATATGTATTTAAGCCACAAACATTACCGCCGTGAAGATATTTTTACACTGACAGAAAAAGTTAACTTGTAATAACAAGTCTGTTACCAATGTTATCATGTTATCCATTAATGTTTATCATGAAAATTTACAAATAACTAGTACTATATAAGTGACTTTTTATTGTGTAAATAATATTTATGCCTTCCGTTCATGGAACTTAAACTCTTCGCATATAAAATATGCATTTAGTACCCTCTCAATGATGGATTTGACTGCTGAAATCCAAAGTGAGCAAAAAATATGAACAAAACCTACCTCATATGTTCTAAAAAGTTTCATTCACTACGTTTTTCCCTGAAATAATATTAGTTAGAGCAACAAATTATCTTATTTTTCCTTGAAATCCTACGTATGTCAAATATGCAACTTTCAAAAGTTTATTAATCACTTGTATCAGATTTTTATCTCATGTGGTTTAAGGTTTTTTTTTTTTTTGAATTGCTTTGCTTATTAAAGAAAATTCTATAAAATTTAATGGGATATAAACACAAAAGGTTAAACTCATTTTGGATAACAAAAAAGGAAATTTCTATAATATGGTTTCTGTAATTTATTTAAAAGGAAATTTCAGGTAACGTTTTTTGCAAGCGTTGTCACATTAAAATGAATAAACACATAAATAAATTGTTGTGAGAAGATCGCACAAATAAAAAGCTAGTTAAATGCAATAATGTAATTGTCATTAACGTTCAAAAAGAAAAAAAAGGATAAATATTTCAAAAAAAGAAAGTAATAAATAAAGCTAAACCTTGGTCACTAGCGTGTTAAGATGACAGTACTTAGCAAGATATATTGATATATTGAGTATTTTGCTAAAAGGAAAAAAGAACCCAAGCTACACAGTGGGAACTAGATCCTGTCACCTGTCTAACACTCCCTCCGTTCCGATTGATGTGAGCTTATTTTCTTTTGTCCGTTCCAAAAAAAGTGACTCATTTCTAAATTTAGAAGCAATTTAGCTTAAACTTATAATTATACTCTTAATGAGAAACTTTTATAATCACACAAGTACTTTGTGCCCCTTTTTAACTTATTTAGGACCACAAATTCCAAAAGCCTTCATTTTTTATTAAACTTCGTGTCTAGTCAAACATATTCACATAAATTGAAACAGAGAGGGTAATATATAGCATCTTCCCCGCTGAACCAAAGGAATGTGTTCATGAAATGCTGTCATCCACTTATTTTTAAATCAATTTTACTGTTTAGATATCATTTTGTTTTGTAGGAGGGGAAACTTGCCGCCGCTATAACCTCTGTCATAGTCTTTGCCCTTCGGGTGAACACTATGTGATGAGCACTTTGTGTCCACATATGGAAGGTAAACTACACTAGACAAGTCATGTGCGACTTTAACCTAAAAGGGTTTTCAGATATCATTTTAATATATATAATTTGTGAATTTTCGACCACGCAATACTACTTTCATGTAACACCGGTTCGTCCAATATAAATCCGCCCCTGATATCAGGTATTCTATGTTTGGTGCCTAAACGCCGGTGTTAAGGAGCATCAAAAACTTCTTAAAAACCGGAAGAGAAAGAAACAATTAAAATTTGGCCACTCATCAATTGGTAACACACAAAATTAAAAATCCGAAGTGTGTGGTTCAAATAACGAGGTGGATTTGTACAAGTCACACGTGAAGTTTTAAACATGCCGCATCACATGATTTCTTGAATACTAACAATATATAAAAGAAAATATTTTTGCCACAAACAAGAAATAGAAAGGAAGAAGAGAAGTAAAAGAGAGAGAAATCTTACTTCACTAACAGCTTCAAGGCGAAAACTATCGGAACAAGAAACCCTAGCATCCGATAATTCAAGGCCAAGTTCTTCAAATGCTTCCAAAATGGAGACTAACAACCCAGGGCAATTCTTTTCTGAGAGCACATTTATTAGAAATCCCTTTTCTAGGGTTTCTACTGTAACCTGCAGTGTAAAGTTGACCATTAGTCAAATACTCATTGTAGTGTGCTTGTTGAAGAGGCATAGTTAAACAAATAAAAGTTTGTCCTCTCTACTAGTTTAAACTTTTAGATGAAAGAGTCGGACTTGAATGCTTTCTGGTACTCCCTCCGTTCCAATTTATATGAACCTATTTGACAGGATATGGAGTTTAAGAAAAAATGAAGAATTTTAGAATTTGTGGTTCAAAACAAGTCAAAAAGGGGTCAGAGTATTTGTGTGGTTAGAAAAGCTTCTCATTAAGGGTAGAATTGTAAGTTTAAGCTAAATTGTTACCAAATTTAGAAATGGGTCATTCTTTTTGGAACGGTCCAAAAAAGAAATAGGTTCACATAAACTGGAACAGAGGAAGTACTAAATAATTGTAGTTGGGAACTCTTTACTTTGCAAATCTATTGATCAAGCAGCCTCCACATCTTCGTTAATTACCTATGTTATAGTAACATTTTTCTTAAAGAAACATGCATTACACTGGTAGTAAATTCGTAAAACTAAAAGTTACTTTTCTTAGAAAATAAATACTTTCTCCTTTCCAGTTTATGTGAATCTATTTCCTTTTTGGTCTGTTCCAAAAAGAATTATTCCTTTCTAAATTTGGAAACAAATTAGCTTAAACTTTCAATTTTGTCCTTATTAAGAAGCTTTTATAACCGCACAAATACTCTGGACCCCTTTTTGACTTGTTTAGGACCACAAAGTCCAAAAGTCTATATTTATTCTTGAATTTCGTGCCCAGTCAAACAGGTTCACATAAATTGGAATTGAGGGAGTAGTAATTTTACATTTCGAGTAAAATCGCCTATGCTAAAGGAATTATAAAGAGGAATTTGAACGGAGAGAAAATGAGGGAAAAGTAAAAGGGAATTACAGCTTAGAATAATATAGGAGAGGGTCAAAATCAAAAGGTTGTGTGCTCTTTTAGGTGTAAGTTAGAACGGTACAAAAACAATTTTTTGGGTAACTTTTTATTTTTTAATTAAGCTATTCACCAGGGTTATCATCTCCCATGGTGATGTGGGGTTTCATAGACAACAAGTTACCCAAATATGGAGGATCAGAGGAGCACAAACTCCACCCCCCGAAATAACTGTTATAAATCATGAATTAATTATTAGTATCAACTCTTGTATAACGTGGTACTACCTTAAAAATGTTAGAGATAGAATCCAACTAATCTCTGTACTATTCATCTCTTTGTGGACGTAAATGAAGAAACTAAGAAAGAAAAATGTAACATTGCTTCATCTAGAGGATCATAATAGACGTTGGTGATAATATAGTTGTCTCTTAGGTAGTTTATTGTGCGAATTAGTAAATTACTATGATTTGATGTAAATATTGGACACAAATAATTTTTTTACTGAAACGAAGTAGCGGACAATACTGTGCATGTATGGAGAGGCTGGTACAGTTTACGATCCTGCATAGGAAAGTTTTAGTGGAATTTGGGGGGGGACTTCATTTATTGATTTATAAATTCTAAAAATTACTATTGGAAAATTTGTTCGAGCTTGGACACATTGTATGAATATGCAATATGCATTAAAGAATTGAAGGAACATCACCAATTGAGAATCTTATTTCAATTTTCGAGAGCCAAAATATCACATTGCCTAAAACTTTTCTATATTCTCTTATTAAATTAAAATATTAAATGTATCTAATCTACTTTTTATGCAATTATATATGTGCAGTTTCATCTCGCATGTCTTCTGTATAGCTTCCAAGAATTCAGGAAAGTAAGTAATATATTTCCTGCTTCATTCATGATTTATATGCTAAAAAAACTAAATTTCTCAAAAAGAAAGGAAAATTAAAGCATATGGCTAAGATATACATACCAATGGTAAGGAATTTTCATCATCAATATGAGAAGGTTGTGAGGTTAAGACATCCTCATTTAACTTGTCTATCCTTTCCTTTAATTCCTCTATGTACTTAGATGCATGGACGATGATTGATGCCTTATTCACCTGAAAATTAACCACCAAATTAACCAATGAGTCGTCTAACAAAATAATTTACAACCAATTCTTAGAGCAAGATTAAAATTAAAATCAACTAAATGATTCACTGTTAACCTTCACTGTATACTCACATCGGAAAGAATTTTTTTTTTTGTTTGTTTCTTTAACAGATAAAATTATATATTAAGACATATATATCCGATATAGGGTACATTAATTTTGGATATCATGTATGAAAACCGGTTCAGAAGGAAGTTGTTTCATTAGAATCAGTCTCCTATTCATAGTATTCATTTTCAGTGATTAAAGTTACTTTTAAAAAAAAAAGAAGAAGATGAATAAACACTTATCATTTCATTCGTCTGCTCAAAAAAAGGATTTAAAATTTTCCTTCAATTTCATCATCATGGAAAATAAAGAAATCATCCCCCCCCCCAAACAATAATATAATTTACATGTTAATCCCAAACAAGTTGAGGTAGGCTGACGATTACTAGCGTAAAATTTATCAATTCATGATAAATCCAAGCCGCCTCCCAAAAAGAAAAAAAATTGAATTGCGAGCAGAGAAAATTAAACAAGTAATTACAAATTAAAATTGAAAAGATGAGAGGATTTTTACAGAAGGGGAATTAGTAATTGAACCGAGTTGCTCCAAATGTTGATGGAGCAATGCATTTTTTTGGTCTTTGGATCCCATATGTTATGTTGTTTCTTCTTTATTTCTTTGCTCATATTGCTTATGCGATGTTTGTGATGGCTTTTTAAAGAGAAGATGGAGCTTTCAAAAACATATGATCTGTTTGTTTGTATCCTGCATGAGAGTACCACTAGGTTCACAAGAGATTATGACGTACTCATAATTTCCTCATAGAAAAAAGAAAATTGGAAATGACTAACTTGGCCTTTCCTTATGAAAATAAACTTTAAATTGCCATGGAATTAAATGAAATCTCTTTGCATTTTATGGGGGTTCCATTCGGATGTATTGAAGTGAGTTTAAATTCTATGCACTGACAATATAAATACTATTTACTCGATTAAGTCACTTAGTAAGTAATTATATGTAAATTTCTGTAACAAGCACTAATCGATAATATGATAAAAATAGTAACACGTTATCAAAGAAAATAGTCCAGTGATATTATAAAGAATTTTGAAGTGACGATGTTAAGGAAGAAGAAGAAGAAAGAAGACGATGACGACGAGTAAACAAAAACATACAAAATGATGACTATCGTATATCAAGTTAATATAGACCTAACGTGTTAACCATCTAATGATTAAGAAATTGAGCATAACTCTTTGTTCACAACGACTCGAGCAGCTATGCTCTATTCCAACAATACGTTATTTGCGTGGGGTAGTAAACACATTAATTAGAAAATTGATGAAACATATCAACTACCTAAACATGATTGAATTATCTGGTTTAGATTAACTTTTTATATTAATAATATCCTCCAACAACTACTCGAAGCAAAAGAGTCACTTAGCACGACGGATTTTAAATTATCAGAAGAAATCAGCCTACTAGTTTGGTTTTATATAGGGCGACATGGATTTACTTAAATCTCAAGTATCTTACAATGCGTAAGCAGGCAAGAAATAGCCATGCAAGTGATAACAAATGCATGACATGTATTTATCCCTAAAGTTGTTAAGGGTTTGGTAAAAAACTATCTTTATCACAACATTCCCTCTGCATTGTATTAAAATGAATTTAAGTTATATGTATCGTTTAGTGTTTACAGTTTCTACACCAACATGTTACCTTTACCTTTTTAGTAGGTAATTTATCTTATTTTTAAAATTATAAATATCACATTTTCATAAGTCTTACCTGTAAATATCCTTTGTTTAATCAGATGGTGTAAAAGAATCCATATAATGTATATAACCTAAACTTTAACATTATATGTGGAATATAGTGTGTTGTAACTAAATAACATGACGAATCTAATGATATAGTAAATTGGGAGCTGGAGATCAATTAGTTATAATCTTGATCCTAGTATTTTTAGTTAAGGATTTTGTAATTTCTAAGTTCGTATGTGGTTCTTGTTGAAGTTTGGCAAAATGCCAAAGTCCCACATTGGTTGGGAGTTAAGTTTGGAAGGG